TAGTTTTTCATCAGAAACAAAGTGACAAAGAACAACAAAGTGACAAAGTACTGTACAGTACAGTGGAGAACACTAACCTGGGGCGGGGAGGTTATTGTTTTGAGGGAGAGTCCTCCTCCATAAGGACACTGGGGAGATCTCTTTCAGGGGTTTCCTCTCTTCTTTGTCTCTTAGCTGCAGGGTCAGTTTTGGTGAAAACTCTGCCTATAGTCACTTATTTTTTGTATAGTCAGGCGGGTGGGGAGATGGCTGCGATCGTGCTGGTGGTGGTGGGGAGATGGCCGAGATTGCACCTGTTTTTCCTGCAGGAGAGCGCCCATGATCACACACGTCTTCCCTGCACGAACGCAACTGCGATCGTGGGCATCTCCCCACTCGGGGGTGGGGGGAAATGGCCACGATCTTGGTTGCACCCAATGCAGAGTTCGCAACCCAAGTCAAAATTTTCATGAAATTTTTGTTTGCAACTCGATTTGGTTGTGAACCAAGGCGTTCGTGAGCTGAGGTACCACTGTACTTGAATCTAACAATCCAAAATGTTTCAAGTGTTTCAAACATTGTCCTTTTTGAACCTCCCAACCAGTTATGTTGGCTGGGAAATCCTGACAGTTGTAGGACTTTCTTCTGTCTAAACATGTGCAGGATTATGCCCTTAATTTATATTCATTAAAAAATAAGTAAATCCAACATGTCCCTTGAAGGTGACCAAGCATGTTAATTCCCGGAGAGCCACCAATTCAATCTATGTGCCTTGGGGGATACACAGTTCCATTTACTAGATGCTGGCTAACCATGTATAGCTTGTCCATGTCCAAGTGACCTTTGCAAGGATGAGCGGAGTGCTAAGTATGGTGAATGAGTTGCATTCCCTCAGCCGGCATGACAGATGTTTGATTTTCTTGGCATTTGCAGGAATGCAGAAACAATTATGACCGATACAGCTTATTTGCCAGGAATAAAGCAACTACCTTGCAGTGCCCATTAACCATCATTGCAGTATGATGAATCTGGCAGTTCATGTTGTTCTCACATAACTTTATCAATATTTGGGAAGCCATAAGCAGGGCAAATGCTGTTCTGGGAAAAGGTTGTTTCTTCTTGACTTATTATGCTCCAGTTCCATCAGGATGATTTAAGGAGGTTTTCGGAATCAACATTCATTGCAAGCCATAAAAATAATAAATAAGCAGAATTCTAGCCATGTACTGCACAGAAGCTGAACTGATTAGTTTAGCTTTGGGTGCTGGTGCACAACATTAATTGACCCCAGACTGGCTTCTTGCCATAGACATAGGAGAAATCTATGCCCACTCCAATCTGTTGATTCAGTTTTGTTAGCCATTTTATATTTTGATATATAGGATGCACTTCCTTGAAGATTCATGGTAGGTAACTATCATATACATTCACTCTCTTGACAGCCCAGCAAGACATGTTAATATTCTCCTGCCAGCCCTTTAAAGACTGAGAAATAAGTGTTTATTCATGGCCATGCAATGAGGCTATGGCTGAACCCAAATTCAGTACTTACATTGCAGCAATGGGAGAGCTTTGGCTACTGGGTAGTAAAGAAATCTAATATATAACTACCTACCAGGAGAATCTTCTATGAAGCTGACTCCCAGGTAAGTGCAGCTGGGCTGAAAAATCCAAAGTGTGCTTGCCAGGAGAATGGAGGATTCACCACTGCTTCACAAACCTTTCTTGTTGTGAGCTGCCCCGAGGCTTTGTTGCGATGGGGGAGGCATACAAATGTTTTAAATAATAAATAAACCTAGCTCACTTACCTAGCCAGGAAATGTGTATAAGGTGGAGTGTGTCTTTTTTTTCTTTTTTCTTTTGCTATACTAGCTCCAAGCTGACATAGCTGAGGAATCTCAAGGGCTTTGGATCCAAAATGGTGCGCTGTTCCTGAAACAGCCAATTTCAAGGGCTGTCCCAGTACATTCTTCTACATGAAGAACTTTCTCTAGGCAGAGCAGGGCCAATAGATTGACAGAGTGTCATGATTTCTTCAGCTGGTGAGGTGCATCAGATCCCACCATTTCTCACCTACACCTTGTTCAGAGGGTGATATTTGATTTGCTCTTGCCAGGCACAGATCTGTGCATGCTTAGTGACTTAAGAATCAGGGTGTAAAGTTATCTGAATACAAGTACACAGATTATTTACTTGTTTGGTCTGTCTCTCCAGGTTACTGTGAACATGCCCATATGCAAAGACAAAATCTACCAGGCAAAACTGAATAAATTTATGACCATGTTACAGGGCTATGTGTATGCATTTGCACATATTATTATAGGAAAAAAAAACCCTTCTAACTTGGCTCATCCCAAATAAACACTTTAAATAGTACAAATGATTGGTGAGGATGACATGAAAACTAACAGGTATGCCGCAATAGAGGGTAGGGTGGGAATGAGATAAGGTAGTAAGTATCAGCAACCTGAGGAAAAACTGGTAGATGAGTAGAGACGTCTAGAGGGTTTGGAAAGAATTGTCTGGGAGGAGTATACTGAGAGGTGTATACTCATATACAAAATGGAGGCACCACTGTTGATGTACCATTGCTCCAGGGGACCCTTCACGGGAAACAAGATGGCTGCTTTCATGGGTCCATGAAGATCAGTTTGATTTATCCACTGAAGAAAGAGTAATCAAACACTGAAGTTCTTAGACTTGGTCTCATGACATAACATTGGGAGAATGGAGGAAATTGGATCACAGGATCAAACTCTATTTCCTGAATGTGAACATGCATTCTCCAGAGATTCTGTGCAGGATTCTAAACTACATTTTGGATGTTATAATATCAGCAACATGATTGCTATTTTAGGATGAAGAATTGACCAAACTGAGCAGTTACTCTGAATGGAAATACAGATAGTGGGAACTGAGAGAAGCAGATCCAAAATGAGTCCTCCAAAACATGTTGGGATGAAAAATCCCTTTTTAAGCATAAGCTAATAGGATCTGATGCAGCAGTGATGGACCAAGATAGGGGTTTTGGGGTTGCAGTGCACAGTTCAATGACAATGTCAGCCCACTGCACAGTTGCTGTGAAAAAAGAAAACTTCATGTTAGGCAGTAATTAGGAAAGGAACTAAAAATTTCCAGTACCAATATGCCATTATGCAAATCTATGGTGTGACTGCACTTAGAAGATTGGATACAATTCTGGTCATGGCACCTAAAAAGGGATATTGCAGAATTGGAAAAACTGTAGAAAAGGCAAACTAAAATGATCGATTGGATTAACTCTCCTATGAGAGTTACAACAGGCAAGATTGTGTATCTTGGAAAAAGTAAGGAAAGGCATGATGGCAGTGCACATGATGTGCAGAAAGTTGATAGGATCTTTTTTCCCTATTTGCTAATACGAGGACCAGGGGTCATCCCATGAAGCTCATTTGTGAGATTCAGAATACCACAGAACATGCATTTCACTTGCATGAGATGTAGTGCTTGCCACTGACTTGGATACTTTTAATTGGACAAATCCATGAAGTCTTTGAATGGCTACTAGACTTGATGGCTGTACGTTGCCTCTAGCAGCAGAGGCAGTATGTCTGTGTACTCCATTGCCAGGAAATTTAGGCGGAATGGTGCCATCACACTCATATATGGCTTGCTGGATATTGTGGGGAGCTGTTTGCCACTGTGTGAACAGAATGCTGGACAAGATGGACTACTGGTCTGACCCACCATGGCTCTTATGTTCTTTTAACTAAAGGAAAATAGCAGCCTGATTGGGGAAACACAAAGATTAGCAGTACAAAACCCCTTTATCCTTCCACAAACTAAGTTGGCAATTCTTAGTCATCTGAGGGGGAAGTTTACCTTGGGAGTTCTGCACTGAATGGAGATTTGGACATGAGGACATTTTAACCCCTTTCAACTCTACTGTTCTGGTACCCAGAGCAGTCTAATGAGTTACAGTATACTGAGTGTCCATTCAGGAAAAAAAATGGAAAACTTGGGTGGGATAAAGGGAAGGGCAATGCCTAGCAGACACAAGTGCAACCAGCTTGTTTAATCCCACTCCCTGTAAGAGCAGGTAACTGTCGTAAGTTCCATGTGCTATTATCCAGAGGTTGTTGACCATTTTGGACAAAGGGGTTCATTTAGGATTTCTGAAAAAATGCTGTGGCCACCACCACACAATGCCCCATCAGTGAATCTCCACCTTGTGTCTATGGATCTTAATCTGCATCTTACTAAAACATTTTGTTTCTTATCTATTAGGTACAGCAACCTCTTTAATACAGGATTGCTTAAGTAGGCTAATTGTGGTCAGTACAATACAGCTGACACTCCTTTAAACAGATGCTTCCTTAATGTCCAGTAATTACTTCTTTTTGTGAGGTTATTACACAGCTGAATTGTGCTCTAGAACAGGGGAGAGCGGCAGGGACCAGCATTGAATGCTCATTCCACTTCACTTCCTGAATGTGTAACAAGCCTCGGAGTACCTGGAGGTATGAGCGTGCAGTGGGCCAAAGGGTTCTTGTCTTACAGCTCTTCCTCTATGGGCTGGAATCTATGAATGAAACCTGTGGAAGAGATGCAACTTCCCCCTTCAACAGCACAGCCCTGTTAATGATATGCCTGTCTTGAAAGTATTTTGGCAGCAAACAAGAAAACAAATGCTCTTCTACTCATGTTTTCTGATGCCTAGTATTATAAGCTTTACTTTTGTGTCGACAGGTTTGAAAAGTATATTCAAATAAATGCTTACAGCCTGACAGGATGTGAGCAGCCTCCCCTATTATTGGGATATTTCTATTTGGTGCTGTTGACACACAGAGTAACTCACCATGTAGGTAACATACAGGTCAGGCAAGATCCCTGTGATTTGTATTTGTTATCACACTAACCACAGTGATATAGGTGACTAAGCTATGGGTGATCAACAGTAGGGTTCACTGCCTAGATAAAGGTTTTACTTTACAGAGAACTACTACAATGTCAGAACAACTGGAAAGAAAGTCTACACTACATTCTTTTTATATATAGATTTTATTTATGAACACATAAAGTTAGTTTTAGTTGCATCTTTTCTTCCACAAGCAAGGAAGTACTGCATAATAATGTCCACCTTCATCTGAAAGGAAAAAGACGGTAGTCAAGCAAACAAATAGAAAGCCCTAACACATAGAAAATCTTTATAAGAAAGCTTCAGCTATTGGGGAGAACAGAAAATGAATAAAATAAAAAGATGCAAATATATATCCTACAATATATATACAAGCAAGCAAGCAAGCAAGCCTATTCCAGAAGTATTAGTCTTACATATTAATATTTACACTGAATATTGTGAAACAAGATGTTTGAACCACACAAAAGAAATTGCTGTATTTCGGCACATGCTACTTGCCAGTTACCTCAGAAATGTCCATTATGGCAGGCAGAAGCTTTTCAAGTTTTCAGACATCTTTGTATAAACATACTAAATATTATTTCAATTAGATATGCTAGAAATTAAATTTGTGAAGTTCTGCAGAAAAGGCAGATGCTGTGTCACTGACATATTGTCCTGCTTCTGCCTCAAGTCTGTCATGACTCAGTCTAGAATATTCTTAGGGTAAATTGAGAGAGACTTGGACCAACCAAATTTTCAATTTGTTTTGGTGTAATGTTTGTGCAAAAATTAACAAGTCAATATTGTCTATGGTGTTTAACAGCTGCCTCCACAGTAGAAATCTCATGCTGTACTTTTATCATGATTATTTTTCACACAACAACATTCTGGCTAGTAACAGCTGTCATATTGAAAGCAGTTTAAAAATTTTAAGCACCATGGAAAGTGTATAGTCCATAAAGCATTCACACTTTTACCATGCTTAAATGCAAATATTATATTCTCAACTGCTTCACAGAATCATAATGTGCATTTTCAAAACATTATTTAACTACAAATGAAATGATTGCCTATTGATCTCAGGGATGTATCAATGAATGGGATGGTGTAACTCAGTGTCCTGAAATAGCAGGGAGTTGGATTTGATAGCCTTCTGGTCTCTTCTATTTTATATAACTCCAAAATGTTTAAAATGTTTTATTTAAAAAATATGCATGTATACTAAAGCAGTCATTTAAAAAAAAGCTAAAAATAATTCAGGTGCCTGAAGCACTGGGGACCTATTCACAGATCCCACTGGGTATGCAATGAATACATTAAAAATCTGATCTATATAAAATTTACTATGCAAATTTTTGTATTACACTGCTATGGGCCAAAAGGTATTTCAGCGTTTGAAACAATGTTACCAATTAAACTTTGTATTTACCAATTAAAGTTTACCAATACAACCTGATATTAAAACAAAGGCTAGAAGTATTGCACTAATATTGCTTCTAAGACAATTTACATCATGGTACATGATAGCAGTTTGAAGTCTTCTTATAAGAAACCACATTTAAACAAAGACAATGTCAAGAAGTTGTTACCTGATTATCCTGTATTTATTGCTTGAGCAATTGGTGCCTTACTATAATAAAGGGAGCAACAAACCCACTTCCACAGAAGACTGACATCAATATCAACAATCGCCATTTATTTTCCACAGAAAAAGGGATGTTCTAGAAATACAAAAAGATTAAAGTTATAGCAATGATATCAACTTATGAAACCAATCTCATATGCAAAAGTTAGCTGGTTTTAGTCTTACAAAAAACAAATAAAAATGTATAAATACTCAAATTCAATCCATCATCATTAAACTGTATCCATGGTATACCCACCCATTTAAAAGGAGCACCAGTTCTGGGACACATCTATATATTTGCCTTCAATACTGCAATGTTTCAAATACAATTTGAGCCAGCTTCTCTTAGAATATACATTTGTTTGCTGTTTACAGTACTGAGTGTTCCATCTTCTGGGAGTTTTAAGAATTCACAAAGTACAACAGGTACATCAGAAAGCGTTTACAGTATCATCATCATTCATACTGTTATGTTCTCATCATTTGTACCACTAGAAGCTAAACAGCCAAGAGGAGTCTTATTGCACAACAAGAGGGCTGCATTAGCCAGAGGCCTGGGCAATCAAGGGCAATCAATTATGCGTTAAAGCACTAAAGAGATAAAAGCATTCCAGAATTAGTGTTGTACACTAGGAGGCCTTTGTGTTCCTCTCTCAAACCACTGCCTTATCCCCACTGCCACAGTGTATAACTGAGGCTTTCAATTCCAGTTTGCAGAAGTCCATATATGGCTCATGCCGCTACTACTTCAGCTATGGCACATGCATGTAATTTTTATTCCTTACATGCCTGCTGAATATACTTAAAACAGCTCTATGGAGCTAATGCGCCAATACTTTATTTCGTATTCTACAATGCTTCATCCTGTATAGCGCTTAAACCTATATGGAGGAACTTCTCCCATTATCCTTAATCCCACTGTACAGTCACTTCCTAGTTCAGGTAAAGATTTCAATATCGGATTCCGTTTACTGTGTTTCAAGGTTAGACGTTTTTACTCCAAACGGCAAATCGCGGTTTAGAGAAAACGGTGCGGGCGGGCGGCCGTCTGACTGCAGCGCACAAAAAGGATTCCGAATGATTCGACGGAAAGCAGAAAGAAGAGATAACATCCCATCCCCACTCCCTTAAACTCCGAATTCCAAGCCGAAGGCAGAAGCAGGAATTCGGAGTTCCCGAGAGGCCTGGCCTCCGACCCGCCATTCAGGAAGTTGGCTCGGGGCAGGCCGCTTCAGGCCGAGGGCGCGAAGGAAGGCGAGAAAAGCAGGCCGGGGGCCAGGCGCGCTCGCTCTCCCTTGCACCCTCGCTCGGCCTTACCTTCCCGGGCCCTTCCTCGTAGTGAGCGCGACGAAGGGCTGAGGTAGCGAAGCGGCGAATACTGACACCCAGCATGGTGCCGCGAAGACGCAACTCAGCAGCAGGAAAATCAGGCCGCGTCTCCCGCACGACCTTCGCTACAGACCCGAAGCGCACGACCCAGAGGCATTCTGGGAGAGGAGGACGGCGGTCGACGGAAGAAGCTCTGAGGCATCCTGGGAGTTGTAGTTTTCCGTTGCTCCTGGAAGCGTGTTTTGTTTTCGTTTTGTTTTAAGGCAGCCGGGAGCCAGCAGGGCCTTCCGCGCTTTCGCTTTGATGGGGAAGCTTCGATTTGTTATCTACAAGCGCTTTCCTATGCTTCAGGGAGAAAGCCGGAGGGGCAACGTGAGCACGCTTTCACTCCCACAACAGCCGTCAGACTGGGGCGGAGCTTATGTTGGGAATTCCCTGCTGAGCACGCCGCGCTGTAGTGGGGGCTAGGAGACGGAAGCAAGCTGTCTAGCCCGGTGGTCTTGAAACCTGAGATACCCGAGGAACCCTGCTCAGTGTGGAAAATCAGCACGCAACCATTAATAAATACGTTTGATGTAATGCATTTTATTTGCCAAATGGTACCATTAATGTTGCAACAATGCAATTCATGCAATGTAAGCAGAAACTATTTATACATGTATTAATGAACCCATTTATTACTTACCGAATTCACTAAATTTTGGTGTAACATCACTAACAAAGAATATGAAAAAATCAACTTCATTTTAATAACTTGGATGTTCCTGTTTTTTGCTACAAAGATAATAAAAATTTGGTGTTACTGATTCATGTTATTCCTGTATTAAGCGTGTGTGATCATTATTCTTGCAATCCGAATCCACTTGAATGAAACCACACTGGCTTTAAAACAGATTAAGGTATGTGTGTAAAGCCTCTGAATTAAAATTAATGAAGACCTTACCTTGTCACAGACTTCTCACCTTTAAACAAAACAAAGGAATGAAGTTCTTACAATTTCACTGTAATCATAAGAGTCAATCAGCCCCTGGTTGATTCTCATGGAACCCTCGAGCTCCAGGGAACATAGTATGAATACCACAGGTTTAGCCCTTTCCTTGTATTACACAGTGCGTATGTGGCGCATGCTGCTACTGCTTCAGCTATGACACATGCATATATTATTTCTTACATGTATATAATCAACATCAACAATGATATATAGCTAAGGGTGAAGTCCTGTGCATGTTAGACCAAAGTCCTATGAGACTTAGCGTTTCTCAGCATGCCGGGAGCCATGGGACATTTCTCCTGTCTAAACACATGCAAGATTGCACTCCAAGGCTTGCCTGTGCATACTAGCTGTGCAGGGAAAAATCCAATATTTACTTTCTATTTATCTGTTTCTGATATTCTACCTTTCTTGGCAAAGCCTTCCAAGGTGGTTCACATACATAGTTTTAAAAACTGCATGCAAATATTCTTTTGAAATTATCCATCTAATTTGTGGGCAGAGAACCAGGGGATGATTTCAACGGGGGGGGGGGGGATGCACTATCCAGTGGCTTTTTATAGGTAGTGCTTATCATTGACAGCTCCCATCTTTTTCCAAATGTGTGCCAACTAGTGGCAGCGACAGCAACTATATTGGCATGGTCGACATTTTGTATCTGTACTTTGTTGTGCTGCTACATGTCTCTTGGTTGATCTGGGACTTTCCAGCCTGCTTGTATATTTGAACTGAAAAAAGCTCCCTGGCAGGAAATCATGATGGTCAATCCCAGACATTAATTGAAGTGTTACCATCCGCTTTGTACATCAGCTAACAATATCCAGGTTTTGAATAATACGAACTATATAGTGCACATATGCTATTTAGGAACTGCATGTTTCCCACCTGGAACTGCGCATCATGTGTCTGGTTACACCTGGTGCAGCATACTTGGTAGAGTACTGAATAGGGGCAAGGAGATCTAGGTTCCAATTCATATTTAACTATGAAGCACAATGGGTGACTTGAGCCAATCACTTCTTCTCTGTTTAACATAACTCACATGGTTGTGGCAAGGATAAAGCACAAGGTAGAAATGCTGTCTTGGGTAGGTGAGGAAAACCATGCAATAAATGAAAACACCGAAGAAGGTTGCTTAGATGCAAGTCCCACTGAATTGAATGAGACTAACCATGAAGTAGATCTATGTAGGACTGACGCCTTAATATCAGTGCACCATGCCTCCAAGTCCAGGATAAGCTGGTCTATACTAATTTTGAAATGTAAATCTTTTCACAAACCTTTCTTTTTTCACTATCCAGAAATAATAATCTTCATCTTTCAAAAATAACATATTTGTTAAGAAGGCCTGGGGGGCTGACAATTTCAGCAGCTAATCATCCAAAACACTTTTCTGCTCCATAAAAATGAACACTGTAAATGATAGCTCATTGCATTTTGTATGCGGGAAGTCATATGTGCTAACCACTGGGGTAGCAAAGTATTTTTTCCTACTGCACAGGCTGAAGTGCTACACAGAATTTCATTTCACAGCTGGACACTCTCCGGAGCTGCCAATTTTTTGCTTTGAGCATCTGAATGCAAAAATGGGCAGCTTTGCAAGCATGCATTTACACATCTGTGAGCCAGCCTGAGAATGTCACACAGGGAGAGAATAGAGTTTTTGTCTGCTGAATTAGCAAGACCAGACAAGTCTGAAATCAGTCTCAAGCTGAACACCTCAGTTTTCATTAGCTGCTGTGACTCTAATAAGATGATTTTTCCAGCTCTTAATGGCAAAACAAACAAAGATGCAACAGTGCATACAGTTTTTCCATTAATACATTGTATTAAATGGGTTGAGCTATGAATGCAGCAAAATTATCCAGATGGAGAGCATATATGAAAGTTGGTAGAGTAGTTAAATGAAGTGAAGCTGTACACCAGGGAATCCCCAGCCTGATCCATGGCTGAGGGAAGAAGGAGAAGCAGTGCTTAAAGAACCATGATTTTTGGTCACAATAGTGATATAAGGCGAATGCAACTCTAAACAGTGAGATATGCTACCTGTAAATGGCGTCAGGATTAAGAATGTTAGAAACTGTTTTAAACCTGGCAGGTTCTAGGTTTCCCATTTCATTCTGGAACCCATCATCTGCTACTCCAGGACTTTCCAGGACAGAAGACATGCCCTTACAAGTTTCCATAGACTCAGAGACCCCCCCCACCCCCCTCCGGTGGACTTCTCACTGGTCCACATCACGGGAGCCCCAGACTGCAACCCTTTAAGAAGAGAAAAGTTCCTTAGGGGTTACTTGCAGGCCCAGATGTGTCAGCTTGCATAAGGACTCAGAAATCCTCTGCATCTTGCTGTGATAACTGTTGCTGTTGAGTGCTTTCCAGCCCATTCTGCTACAGTGATCTCTCCAGGCTCTTGACATGGCCTCACTGGACGTGATCTAACTTTACTGGGGGCATCTAGCCTAGCTGTAACAGTCTGCCCTGGCAGCCCTAATATGATCTAGGGCTGGACAATGCTGGGTTGGACTGGCTGGGAGTGGTGGATAGGACTGGATGAAAAGGGAATGAGGTCACAGTCAAAAGGGGGTAGTATGATCTCTCTGCCACTCATCTCTGTCTCTTTCTGTTCCTCTTCTCTCTTGCTACTGCTCCTTCTCTGTGCCCAGAAGACTGCTGATCTCTTGCATGACCTCCTTACATCTATCTGTCTCAGTCCCCCATCTTCTCCCTTCCTACCTTTCATCTGTCTGTTATTTAGGTATCCCTGTCCCACCTTCTTTCTCTGCCTCTGGGCTCTGCCTACATCAAGAAGTAACACTGAAGACTACATGAAATGGTCTGAGGAATGCAGGCTGTTCCTCCAGGGTGGAAGCACAGGATCCGGAAATCTTGGCTCACTCATTAAGGCCCACTATGTGTTCAGCACATAGTTATGTTTATATACTTGCTCAAATGCACTCCCCCTAGGAAATGCACTCTCTCAGGAAACTAGCGAGGGTGACCTAAGGATTGCGGAAATTGACTGGCATGTGGTGGGTTAACTCACAGCAAGCTGCAGTGCCCATAGGTGCGATTCCTGCTTCTCTTGTCAAGCGGACCCAGTGAGTGTGGGTTATGTGACATTTAAGGAACCTAAAGTAGTTCATGGGTTATACAAAGGTTGTTTTACCTCTGCATAAGCCACACTTGTGGAGTATGTGTGAGATGACAGCTTCTGTAGAATTTGCATGACATGACAAAAAGGCGGCTGCACATTGCCCACATGCACCGCTGCTTCAGTGCTGGTTAAATAGCTCACACTGGGCTGTCACGTTGTTGCCATAGTGTTGCCAGCCCTGTTATGAAATCCTTGCAAAATACAGGGATTGGCAACACTATGTTTGCTGTTGCAGCAGCACTGCTCAAGAGCTTCCCAATGTGTATATTTATTGTCTGTGTATACCTGGGCACAGGTAGTGAGTGTTCACTGTATGAATGGCCGTACCCTTACGGTAACCAATTTCATGGCAGTGTGTGTAACACCCCCTCAAAATTCCAGCTGTGTCCATAAACCCACAAATGTTGTCAATCCATGGTGCATTTGTTGAGGAACAGCTGATCTCTTGCTTGGTGAGGTCTACCACACTCTCCTCCCAGGTCCTCCAAAATCCAAATCCATCAGTTCCACAAAAATGTATCGATTTGGGATAGAGCAACTGTGTATACTGTTATTTATATTGATACACAGATGTAAGTTGAGTATGATTTGTTTCATGTAAAGCAAACCATAATTTGGCGTTATAAGGCTGGGGTTTGAACATTCCTTCCTGTATTCACTTTATCTCCTTCTTTTTGGGTGATATAGAAGTCTACTAAATAAATATATAATAAAATGCAATCTACTGTTCAAACCATGGGTTTCTAGCCCTGATTTGGAGGACAAACTATGATTTGGGTGCAGCAACGTGGGGGAAGAATATTTGTGTGAGTCTAAAGCTAATCCATGAAATGTCAAATTTTAGTTTGATATTAGAAGTGATACAAGTCTATTTATCAAGGCCGTTTTCTGGAATGGTATCACTATGACTTTATGGTTGAATTTGAAAGCTTATTGATAATGTTACTTCAAATTGTTAAGAAAAGTGGTAGACACATTTAAATGTTAGCCATGAATTAAAAGAGACATTTAGAAA